CCCCTGACCCACCTGGCCTGGGCTTCGTGGGGTCAAAGGGAAGCAGCTGTCTTGTTCCTAAGGTCCTTTGGCCATTGGGAGAGCCAGAGGCTCCGGCTCACAGCGGCCCCCCCTCCCCCCCGCCACCCCCAGTCTCCCTAAGGCCTGGCACGTAGGCAGGCCCTGAGCCGGCAGCTGCTCCCCAGCTGGGTCCCCTGGCCCTAAGGCCGCCTTTGTGCCCACACAAGGCAGACTCAGTTCTCCTGCTCCTTGACCCTGCATCCTGCAGCCCCTGGCAGGGGGGCGGATAGTGCCAGCTGCCTGGAGCAGGAACTGGACCACCGCAGTGACCTCTGTCTCCTTCGGGGCACCTCAGAGGGAAGCTGGCGAGAGCTGCTTATTGCAAGGCCATTAAGCAAGCTAACGACCCATGAAGGCTCCTGGCCGTTCTGGCCACCCTGGTCGTGCCTCCGCTGGGCTCACAGAGCCTGCTACCCACCGCCCGCCCTGTGCCCGCTATGACTGTTACTTAACGTGTCGGGCCACAGTTCTCCCACACGGGGCCGGGTCTGGGAGCTGCTGCTTGACTCTTCCAGCTGAGCTAAGGCTGTGCACACAGCAGGCAGTTAATAAATATTTATTTCGAATCAAGCCAGAAAGAGTCACCTTGATTTCCAAGGCTGGGGAAGGGACTTGAGTCTGGGGACACTTGGTCAGGGGTGAGGTAGTCAGTGGGCCAGGGCACAAACTGGGGACATGTGTCCTGCACCTGTGCTCTGACCCGTTCCCAGCAGAGGCGCGGGCAGCCGCTCTCTGCCAGGTGGGGCCCGAGCCCCTGATCCCTTCGCCTAGGCAGCTGTGGGAGAGAGCACAAGAGGGGACAGAGGCCCTGCTGCACTCTCGCTGAACTCAGGAGAAGCTGGCTCCCAGGCGCCCTGGGCCCGCCTCATCTGGGGTCAGTTGGGAGGTCTCCCTGAATCCTGGCCGCTCTTGCCCTTCAGCCCTAGAATCGTGCCTTCAGTGCCAAGGAAACATACCTGACCCAGTACAACACTCAGCCTCAGGATGTGCTGGGGGTGGACAGCCTTCCCTGCAGACCTGGGCTCTCAGGGCCTGGTGCTCACTTGGGAGAAGGTGACAGCAGGCCTTGGGGTGGGCTTCTAAAACAGGGCGGAGAGAGTGAGACACAGGCCAAGATGCGATGTGGTGCAGCCACATTTAATTCAACCGCCAGTGGATTCTAAGGGGCCAGAGCAGAGACTCCGCTCGCTTTATAAAACTGAGTCCCCACGCATGTCGCCTCCATCCTTTCAAAAGGGTGGGCTGTCTGGAGACAGCAGCAGCTCAGGCCAGAGCACGGGCCGGGGCTCTCCGTGACGTGGGCCATGTGGGGAACCTGGGGCAGGACGCAGGGCCATAGGCACCCATCTGGGCGCCAAGGAGATGCAGGAGGCCTGAGGGCCAGTAAGCCAAAGGCGTTGGGCTGCCCATGCGGAGGCCCCAGGAAGCAAGTGCAGAAGCTGGTGGGAGGCCTGCCGACCACTCACACAGCCTGGTGCTTCCAGCCCTTCCTCAGGCCCCCCCTTACCGCCCCCCCCCGCCCCCGCCCGCCCCGAGCTGTTGTCTAAGACATAGGAGCCATTTCCATCACCACGACAACTAAAAACAAAAACAAACCAAAGCCCATCTTAAGGTATAATCTTCCAATTGCTTAAAATTGATCAGTGCCAAGTGAGGCAGAGCCCCCGCCACGGGGCCAGGCGGGCAGCCAGCCTCACACCAGCCTGCGCCTCTTGGAGTCCCTGTCCGTGTCCCCCTCCTGGGGGTCTTCCTCACAGCCGAGCGGGGACACCAGGTTCAGCAGAGGGTCCTCAGAGGCTCGCCCGAAGAGTGCCAGGAGGAGGGCCACGCCGAAGCCCGTGGCGCGCTCACCCTGTGGACAAAGTGCAGGTGGAGCCCCTGCCAGGGAGCCAGACCCCCTCAGCGAGCCGCCTCTGCGGGGAGAGGCTTGGGCCAGGGAGAGGGCCCCACTTTCCCTGCAGACCCCTTCTGCTGCCCTGAACACTCGAACCAAGGAGTGCTCTGGCCTCACTCAGGTTTTACCAGGGTGCGAAAGGGTGAGACCAGGGCCCGGGCCTCCTGCTGAGGACGGCTGGCTGGGGAAGGATCGCAAACAGCAGCCACTCTGTTCCCAGCGATGAGGAGACCAGAGGTCAGGGGGGACCACAGCTGGCCGGGAGGCTGGGCCATAGACAGTATGACCCTCAACACAGAATGTTTCCGATGAGCTCAGCCTGCAGCTCTGGAGCCAGACAGGGCTCTGGACGCGCATCCGATGGTGGGAGCCAGGCCGAGGGGAGGGACGGGAGGGGAAGCAGACTGGAGGGCCAGCCAAGGAAGTGTCCTAACCAGGAGGGGGGGACGCCCGCTGGGGCCCTGCACTCACTGCGTGCACAGGCGCGGCGATGTCCAGGTGGACCCAGACCCCAGGCCAGTCGAAGCCAATGTGTGAGGCAATGAAAAGGCCGGCACAGGAGCTGGGGCTGTTGTCCCGGTCCTGGGGGGACAGAAGGACAGACAGTGACGCTTCCCCTCCCAGCAGTGGGGGCTTGGGCGAGAGGCTCCACCAACAGCACCATCAGGGCCTATTGTGGACCCACCTTGCCATCCTCAGCCACCGCCCCTGGTGTCTGAAAGGGGCTAGGGAGGGTCCAGCGCAGGAGTGGCAGCTGAGAGGGACTTGGGACCCCCAAGGACCTTGCATGTGGGCTTAGGTCTGCCTTCACCCCAAGGCAAGGGGGCAGTCAGCAAAGGGCCTGACGGGGACAACAGACAGACCCCAGATGGGGAGGAAACCCAGTACCAGACGTGGTGCGTGCGCTGGCAGGGAGCCCAGTGAATGGTATATCCCCTCTTTAGATCCCCCCTGCCTCCCCCCCCAGCCACAGCAAAGACCTGGGGCCTCCTGGGGGTGACCCTCGTCTACACTGCTGCTGTTTCTTGGGGTCACGCTGATACCTTGACACGCTCCCTCACCTCAGGAGCCACTCCAAACCTACCGCCACGGAGTTCTTCATGTCGGCCACGGCCGAGGTGAACTCGCTGAAGTGCAGCTCGGGACAGTAGACGAGGGGGTGCACAAGGTCCCCGCATTTCCTCCCGGACTTCACGCAGGCCGCCTCCCACTCGGCGCTGTTGGTGAGCACGGCAGCGTGGTACTTGCCCGTGGCGATGCCCTGGGGTCAGGGAGAGTGGGACAGAGCCCCAGGAGAGGGAACAAACAAGGCAAGAGAGGCGGTGAGAGACGCAGGGGAGGAAGGCCTCCGTCCTGCCCGGGCACCCAGGCCTCCGTCCACGGGCTCCGCTACCTGCACCCTCCCTGGGTCCCCCACCAGGTTATGAAGATGAAATGACAGCACCCCTCTTTCCTGGAGGCCAGGTGGCCTTAGGCTCCCACCTGTGCTCCGGTCAGCGTGGCCATGTCTAGGATGATGTCAGCCCCCAGGTCCTTGCAGGCGTAGGACACGCCGTCCGCTAGCACCAGCCTGCCCTCAGCATCCGTGTTGTTGATTTCCACTGTCCTGGGGGCAGCAGACACCCCACTCAGGATGGCACCCTCTGAGGCACTGGTAGTGAGTCCCTTTGGAACTGGGTGACCCCACCTAGAGCCCTTGTTTCTGTAACTACCTCACGACCCCTCCACAGTGCCAGGGTCAAGAGCAAAGGCCATTGTGTCAATCCCGCCCATCACTGTCCAGCTAGAAGCTGGACAAGCCACCCAGCTCCTGGCCTGTTTCCTCTTCTGTAAGACGGGAGAACAGGGTTGTGTGGCAGCATCGACACCGTTCCCTGGCCCTAGGTAAGTGCAGGTTACCTGTCAGGGTAACCCTGGGGATGGGCACCATGTGGCAGAGAAGGGCTCACCCTAGTGAAGCAGGGTGGTTCCTGAGCCCCTGAGCCAGCACCCTGGTCACCCTTCTAGACACCCCTGGTAGCAAGCAGCCTGTGGGCCAGGGCTACCTGTCACAGGGCATCTCCAACAGGGTCTGCCCCCGGCTGGAGCAAGCAAGGTGAAATCTGCCCCCAGCCAGCATGGCTCCAGCTGACCAGCCTGGCCTGGGAAGGAGAGGACAGCACGGTCGAGGGCCCTGGGCTGTGTGGTGAGCGAGGGGTGGTCTTACTTTCCTGAGTAGAGCAGGTGGATGTCATCAGGCCTCGTTGCGTTGGGCCCCACCGAGTTCTCGGCCAAGCAGAACACCGCGTGAAGGTTGTCCTTGAAACCCTGGAGGAGATGTGGGCAGAGGCTCCAGTTACAGGCTGGTAGTGCTCGGACCCCTGGAGTCTTTCTGACAAGCTCATCAAGGGAGGCAGCGGGGCGAGGGGGGCGAGGGGTGGGGCAGGTGGCAGGAGCCGGTGCTGTCCCCCAGGCAGAGCCTGCCGTGCTGAGCAAGGTGAATGCTGGCCACACTCCCCGTGAGTCTCCGGCCAGCAAGGGGACGAGCGGATGGCTGGTGCTCCATGTGCCGCCTCCCCTGCAGGGACCACGGTGCCTGTGGCTTGTGGCTGTGCTTCAGAGACCCCAGGAAGGTCCATTTCTAATGAGGCTGTTCGGGGCAGAAGCAAGAGCTGCCAGGCTCTGGGCCCCTCCCTCCTGCAAGTTCTGCTCCTCTTGCAGGGAATAGGCTGGGCTCCTGATCGGCATTAATTAGAAACTTTGCCAAGACCTTCTGCTCTCACTTTAAGTTTACCCCCAGGAACCAAGCCAAACAGGTAGGCCCTACAGAGAGAAGAGGCCTTACATTTGGTGACAGGAAGAGCTGGGCCCCCTAGAAGCAACCGTAGCAGCTCCTTTCAGGAGGTAAGTCGTCCCTGTGGTGGTCAGGGCACACCACCCCTTTGTTGAACACACACTTTTTACCCGTTTGACACGGGCTTTGGGCTCCAAAGGACATGCATCCCCCAACCTCACCCACTGGCAGCGATCACCACCCCGGGCAGGTGAGGAGCTGCCCTGGAGCCCTCACTTCTTCCCCTTTTAGAGCCTTTGGCCTGTGATGGGTGTGGACTCCGCAGGAAGGATAGGATGGGGGTCCTCCTCTCCCAGGACTGCAGGAGTGGGACCCCACTAACCTGCTTGACGGCAGCTCTGAAGGCCCCTAAGATGGCTGCAGCACCCCCGCAGTCTCTCTTCATCCCAGGCATGGTAGTCTGCGGACAGCACCGATGGGTGAGAGAGGAGTGAGTAAATGCTGACTGCTACCCACCTGCCCCATCCCATCCTACTCAGCACCTGGGGCCCAGAGGGGTTCCCTAGACCTGCAGGATCTACAGAAGGGAGCCAGGACACTCTCACTGGTCAGGTGGGTGTTCTCTAAAAGCAATGGGCAGTAATGGCCAAAGACCAGGGGACCCTTTCACCTGAGCAGAGTTTTGGGGGTTATTTAAGGAAACTGTGGGGGAGGAGAAAAATGAACAGGAGGAGGGGAAAGAGGAATAGGAGGAGGAGAATGAGAGCAGGAGGAGGAGGAGGAGGAGGAGGAGAATGAAGAGCAGCAGGAGGAGGAGAATGAGGAGGAGGAGGAAGAGAATGAGGA